CCAAGAAAACCCCAAGGTCCGATTTTCATAAAAAATCCCTTGATTCTTCAAGAGTTTGGCTTAAATCTTCAAAAAAATTTGATTTTCATCTTCCCTACTTCATCTCCTACATCCAATACATCATCTTCTTGCATTTTAATGGTGGATTTGGGGGTTTTGACAAACCCTTGGTCTGAAAATTTCTTAGAATTTTGGTGTTTTTGTGCTTAATTCTTCATGTAGGAAACCTTGGGGAGGTTGAAGACGGTCATTCTCACCAACAACAACACATTTCCACTAACGATTCGGTACATTCTTTCCTATTCTTCACTTGTGGAATTTGTGTTCTTAAGGTCAAATTGCATGTATCTATGGTCCTTTTGGACTTGACAATAACATGGAAATCATTCAAAACTGAGTTTCCCATGAATTTTTTCTGGCCAAACTTCAGTTGATTGGACCCGTCAACATTAACTTTTTGACCCGTTGAATGGTTGACTTTTCATCTTTGCCCCAGATTTTGCATATGGAAAGTGAACATTCTAAACGACCGAGGCATATTAGGGCCTAGGCCCGTCGTCGTAGAACCCCATCATAGCCTAGGTCCCCATCACCCCTGCCTCAATCTCCACCCAATCCGACACATGCTGGTGTGGTTTGTCTTGGCCCTATTCAAGTTGCCAAACTTGAAGTCTTTCTACAGCGTGCACATACTACCCAATAATTTACGCATGTGCCATCTCTCCACAAGTTGCACACCTACAACCAAGTCCACACCTTGTTCGGAACATTGGATGACAAGGGTTGTTAAGGGTCCACGAGATCAACTATAAATTTCCAACAATCGAGTTCTTGTTTTTGGTCTAGTTGGACCATGGTGTCCTCAATTTCCGAGTAATGAACCAAGATCATACCCTATCCCTAGACCAAATCCATGTCATTGTTAGGGCTTCAACAGAAAACACTTTTGGCCCCAATGACTCGATTCCAGGATACAGTGATCTTACATGGTAGATCGATCTTACTCATCTACACCCGTATGTCTCAAGTTATGCTAAGGCCTCATCTATCATCCATCATGTGATGAAAGTGGCCCACTGGATTCTTGCTTCGCTTGTCGCCCCTAGAGAAGAGCGAAACACCATTAGCGCTCTTGAGCTCAAAATACTCTATGCTACGGCCCACCCTGATGATAATCTTATTCCTCACTATGGCATATTGCTTTGTAACAAACTCACTCGTATTAGCACATCACGGTATGGCAAAATATCTTGTGGTGGCATTGTCAGTTTATTTGCCAAAAGTGCTCCAGTCTGGGCCCCATATCCCAGAATTCACCAACCTCTTCCCGGTGAGACATACCTTACCATGGGAGTTCTTGAATCTATGAGAATATTTCGGGCAGAAGACGGGAACCATAATTGGACCGTGGGTCAAAACCACAATCCAAGGCTCATCATTGCCCCTGAGAACCGGGATATCCTTTCCCTTAGGCATCCTAACAACTTCACCAACTGGAAAATCACACCATATCTCTTCCCCGACTCCTTCTCCGAAGAGGAAGATGGAGAACGTGACGAGAGTGGTGGGGCGGCACCACAAAATTCTCCTCCTATGGGTGGTGCCAGCTCATCCCATCAGGCTGGACACCCATCCTATCACCAGCAACATATGGATCATTTCCAATCGATCCATACCCGCCTCGACACTTACAATCAAGATCTTGCGAGCCTGACTTAAATTTTCTCTTATTTCACCACTTAATACAATCGAGATCAAGAGTGCCAGCGTAAACATGAGGAGGACTTTTGGGCTTAGACTTGAAACTCCGAGTATTATCCTTATCCTCCTCCTCATCTACAATAGGTTGTTTCACCCTCTCCAAGTATCGGGGACGATGCTTATCTTTATGTTTGGGGAGGGGTAGAGCTGTACATTAGGTGCCCTTTTCATTTTTTCATAATCATGCATTCATTTTCCAAAAAAAATTGTGCGACATGATTACATTTTTTATATACAATAGCTCCATGAAGTGCAAAATCGAGAACTCAAAGGAAAAAAAATACTGAGGCGACTGGATAGTTACCAGAAGTGTAGAATCAGCTATCGTAACTAGGGGACCCACACAACGTAACTCGAGACCCCAACTTAGATAATAAAAAAATGGCATACTGAAACGTTTTGTGGGCGGTAATACCAACTTTAGGATGATTTGCTTCTGAATGTTTAAAAAGAATCTTTATCGACAACTCTGGACCTGCAAAACACGGACCTATTTGTTGACATGCGTTGCCCTCATGGTAACAGAGAGCTTAAGTATCAGATCCACACAATCAAGAAAGAAGAAATGGTACATCTATCATATCCAGTACCCAAATCAGAATTTCAAGTGTCAAAACGAAGAAATTCTCAGAAATTCAAAAGTTGATTGAAGAACTCAAGCTCAAAAATGAAGATACAAATCCAAGTTAAAAAAAAACGCCTCAAAGTCAAATCTGGAGAATGAAGAACTATGTGATATGATACTTGTGGCTCTTGAAAAAGTGAAAGCATAGGAGCTAGGCCCCTTCAGGTGGGCTCACTGTTTCAGCGAAAGCTGATTCACCGTGACGGGTTCTTAACAATGTGGCGATTCTGATTCTTGACCATATAGTCTTAAGGACATGAGATTTGGAATCTATTATTTTCTCCCATAAAGCAAACTAAGGTATGAAGTTTAAATAAAACTATGGTCGGGTTATTGGGTTACACCGTTTTGGGTCATCCTCACTTTGGGAGTCTGTGATATGTGGAAGGAAGCAGGATGGTTGCCTAGGTATTCATGATTGGAGCCACATTGATGTAAAGCATGATCGTACTTTTATAGATTATTTACTTGTGCCTTAAATTCCTCTTTGTTACATTTTGTTTCTTTAGTGCTTTTGTACATATATATATATATATATATATATATATATATATATATATATATATATATATATATATTCTCTTTTTCATGGTATTCATTACATGCATTCATTCCTATCCTTTAGGATCTTTCTGTCCCTTTTTTCTCTATGTTTGTTTTTGCCATCTAAAAATCTTCCTATTTCATCTGATTCTTGTTCTTTCTTGAGGACAAGAAAGGTCTAAGCTTGGGGTGATTTGTTAGGAGCATTTTGTGGAACTTTTTGCACATATTTTAGTCCCTTCTTATGTATCTATTTAGCATAATTGTTCTTCATTTGTCTTGCATTTCATCATATTTCATGTTAGTCTCTAGAAAAACCTTATTTGCACATTTTCATGTCTTTTTTAGGTAAACCGGAGGTTGGAATGCGCGTTGGGAGGTGCCGGGAAGCATTGGTGAGGATTTCGGGATGATCGGGCGAAGAACGAAAAATTTGGAAAAATCAAGTTTGGAATTGGAGTCAGAGAGGTACACGGACCGTGTTGACCAGAAAAGAGGAAGCTGTTGACCATGCTAGACACGGGCCATGCAATTTTTACCTTATGCTCAACACAGGCCGTGCTCGACCCAAAAAACCAACTTCTGGCAGTGTTTCCTATCTTTCATATTACAGGTTGAGGGCCATTTTTACAAGGACACAACATATCAGAGCACATTTTGAGAGGGGATTTCGAAGGGTTTTTCAATGGATTGATCAATAATTATTTGGAAACAATATTTCTAGTATTTTTAAGTTGTAATTGCACATTATTTCCATCTTTTAAACTTGTGATCTTGTTCTAGCCATGTGTGGCTAGAACCCTAGTTTCTCCAATTTCATGTTTTGACTTCTTGGTAGTGATTTCAATCATATGACCTGATGTTTGTTCTTAATTTCTATCTAGTGAATTTGATTTTGCTTTAATCGAATGTTTGATTATAATTGTGATTCTTATAGTCCATTTGAATTAGGGTCAGGTCATTCAAGTTATCTCTTTTACAAAATTCATTATCATTTTGTGAAATTGAACAAGTAACAACCATTAAATTGATCTCTATTGAATGAATTTAGTGTAAATCTTATTCATACGCTCTTACACTCTCGAGCTTGTGAGGAGTATTCGGTGTTGTTGGGAACATTCACATAAAGCTTCATGCAATCTTTTAATCTAATTCTAAGAGCTTGTTTAGATTAGGTTAGTAAGGTTAGGGTTAATCAAAGAGCTTGTTTTGGTTAATTAATATGGTGAATGGGAAGTGTTAGAGCTTATTAACACTTTCAACTACCAACTTAGATAGAACTGAATGAATATTGAGTCATCTTTGAATCACATTGTTAAGTTGCCAAACATGAAGTTGGAACCCTTACAAATTCTGAATTTAATTCACTCATTTAGTTGATTACTTGTGTTTTTAATATGTATTTTTAATATGTATTTTTAATCAATGAATTCAAAACCCCCTCTTTAATCTTTTGTGAACAAGTACCTTGTGCAAAGGGGTATTAGACCGATTGTCCCGTGTCTCCATGGATCGACCCTACTTGCCTTGTACTACTTGTTAGTGCAATATAATAGTGTTCTTAGGAGTATATCATACCCTTATCATTTTTTGTGTTTGACATGCCTAACAGCAAACCCTTGTCCTCTTGTATTTCCTCCCCATCCTCTCAACTTCAGACAAATTTTCAAGATATGCCCAACCTCCTTGCACTTAAAGCATGCTCTACCATCTGCTGTCGTGGTTCCTTGATTTGTTGGAGCTCTACAGATATTGGCAATATGACCTTTTCTGCCACAATTAGTATAGATCCAACAAGCTCTTGTATGATGATGCCCATACTAATTACACTTTAGACTACCTCCTGTGGTACTCTCTGCTGGGGTTGTCATAATTGCAATTGACTGGACTACTTCACGTCTCTTTTCCGATGGTTGTTTAGCCCGACCTTTGGAGTCGTTTCCACACTTTCTCTTTGTACTCTTTGGGAGATCAACCTTCTAGACCATTGTACAGTGACATATCTCTTGATTCATTAGACTAAAGGCTAGTCTCTTAGCACTGTCATACATGCTTGGCTTTGAGGCAGTAACTAAACCTTGAATTGGCTGAGGAAGACCCCAAATGTATATTTCCACTTTCTTATATTCCAGAGTGACCATTCCGGGACATAAGGTGGAGAGATCATTAAAAAGGTTCATATAAATAGCAACATCCACCTCCTTTGTCACCAACTCCCATAATTCATGCTCTAACTTCTGCACTTCTTCACAGGGGAAATATTCTTCAATCATGAGCTACTTTATCTCACTCCAAGCCATGGCATTTGCCACACTAACACCCATGGTCTTTGTATAACTTATCCACCAACTCACGGTTGTGTCTGCCAGGGTACAAGCGACAAATTTTACCTTACAATCCTCTACATAAAAGCTTATTGTAACATCTTCATTTCCAGCTATTCCATTTTTGACTTTTGATTTGAGTGTGGTTTGTACATTTAGTCCCAAGGGGCATTTTCATAATTTTAGGTAAGGCTTGTGTACGATGGACGTACGTGGCCAGGGTGCAAACCCTAAATTTTAGTGTTTGGACCATGTATAAGTGTCATTATAACCCCATACCCTTCCTTAAATCTAGCATCCATCCCTATCTCGAAACCCTAAAGTGTTTGAGTCTTTTTTGAAGCTTGAAGAGTCATTTTGATGCCATTTTGGTGCTCTTGGTGATGAAGGAGGAATCTTGAAGTTGTGGTGCTTCACTCAATACTTTTAATCGAACAACCGCTCTCTCTTGTGCATCTTCTAGAGGTATAAAGCTCCAACCTTGATGAATATTTCATTAAGATCTAGTTCTAGCTTAAAGTTGGCACCTTTTTGTCCTAAATCTTGATCATTGTGAGTATGGCATACTACAAGACCTTTGAGTTGTCCTTTCAGATGTTTTAGGTTGTGATAAGTCATAAAAAATGTGATCTTGGACATTAGTTTCTTTCCATGCATCATCTAGGTTTTCATAATGGGTTAAGAAGCTAGGATTTTTTATGTTAACTTCTTAATGGCCATGCAAAGCCATAAAGTTGAAAACTTTATGGTTAAGAACACATTTTAGGGGCTAGATATGGATTTTCGACGAAAGAGCTTAAGGATTAAGCTCTTAATAAGTTGAGTGGGTGGTAGCAACGTACCTTGGGCATACCAAAGGGTACGCTGCGCGTATGTGGTCAGCGACTCCAATATGGTCAAGCAAGTAGTATGTCTTGTGTACATGTTAACTATGCCTAGGATACTCACCCAGTTGAACTAGTTGACTCGGTTGACTTTGACTTGGATTTTGACTAAAGTTTGACCTAGAGGTCTTTTGGGTATTTTTATCTGTATTCTGAGTTTTGGTCATTATATTTATAAAGGTGACTGATAGAGTAGATTTTGGGGCAGTATGTTGTTTCAGATTCTCAAATTCTCAGGTTCGGTTATACATTAGGGTTAAGCCCAATTGTATATTTTGGTATGTGTTACTTTGGGGAAGTAACTAAGCTTTATGCTTACAGTTTATTTTTATGGTTTCCGGTACTTCTGTTAGAAAGGGAAGGGCCCATCGTGATGACACAACATCCTCCCCTCCTTATTTCTGCATTTAGAATAATTGTACTATGATGTTTTGGATATTATATTTTGTGTTGGATTTTAAAACAATTAATGAATGAATTAATTGTCTTTCAATGAAATTTTTTATCACGGTTTTTAGGCTATTACAAGTTGGTATCAGAGCCTTGGTTTGAGGGATTTATACACACTTTTGGGTTTGAGAA